TCGGGCCTCCTGGAGAGACCACGTCTCCGCGGCTTGATTCGCTTCGGATTCTTGGTCAGAGCGCGGTCTCGGAGAGAGCCATGAGGTAGCTTGCTTGCTAACCACCCATTGGGGGAAGAGGCAAAGTGTCAACTCAGACGGGGGAGACGACGAACGTAGATCGCCTTTGTGCCGAGGTGGTTGAGTTTCTCACCGCGCTCGTTTGCTAGCAGCGCCGCGGCCACCCCCAACAGGCTGCATTTCTTTGTTGTGCAGGCAAGTGACGCATGTGTGGGAGGAAGTTTCGGCTCAGTGGTAGCATTCACGTGGCTATCGTTGCGAAGTATGGGTGGAGGAGAGGGTCGGGTCGCGCTGGTGGAAGTGAGACTTCGCGCAGGCCCGAGGCACATTTATCCGGACGCATCATTTGTAGGTTGGGAGATTGTACTGCGCAGCGTTTGTGCCAGGATGGACGGGTGTTGGGGTCTCGTCTCTTGCAGGTTTGGTTGACATCGATCTACGCGGTCGTACTCGGAATTTGCTGATCACATCCTTGGGGTACAGTGGAAGCCCATGCCAAGAAACACCCTGCTTGCCTCCAGGGTGCCCTGGGTTTCTTGGGTTTCGATAGTCTTGCGATGGAAAGCGTGAAGTCCCCACTTCAAACATCAATGGACGTCCTGGGGTCTCATGCTTGGGTTGCTTGTGGAAGGTTTCCTGTGGTCGGTTCCCTAGTGTACGAGGAGGAACGGTTCTGGTATGTGCTTGCGTTTCACATGGCCAGGGTGGCTGGGGGCAGGGACTCGCAGAGGGTGCTGTGTGCGCCAGCCTCGCAGACAACACGACACGACCAGATGCCGCAAGAGAGCGACAGGGTCACGACGTTGTAGAACATCCGGTGGGGAGCCCAGTTGTGTTTACACGTGTCGGTCAGAACACCGTGCTACATAAAAGTCGGATGTTGGGCGAGGGCTGGCCAACCCGTGGCTGCTAAAATGGTCTTCTCGGAAGAAAGACGACAAAGCCCCGGAATAGAACTCAGCGCACTACATAGTAAACGTACTGCTTCCTAGAATATTTTAACAACTTCCCGGAGCTCCGTTTTAGCAGCCACGGGTTTGCCAGCGTTCGCTTGGCTTCCTTCTGAAAAAAGGTAGCCATGCGTCTGCCAAGTGAGTTGCGACCCATTGGTCGCACCAGTGTCCATTCGCAGTGAAGGAGCCGTTGGCCTAAATAACACAAGCATGGCGTAGCCTAACTGAGGTCCCCACCTTTGCATTACGGCTCGTAGATGTGGGTGGTGTTGTTTGGTACATGTTCTGAGAAGCCTTCCAGTCCCTAGTTTGTTTGGCCCTCCTAACTTAGGTCCGCTCCCGAGGGGTTAGGGGTCCTTTGATTGCTTAGTCAAATGTTGCACTGTATGAGACCACAGGCGTAGCATGGAGCATGTGGCCCGATTGCGTGGTGAAAGCTACCAGTCTAGCAGCCAGGATCCAGGGGCTTACAAGGCCTCCACTTGGCAAGTGAATTCGATTCCTCGAAACACCGCTGTGCACGGCACATCGTCACCAGGACTTACCGCATGCCATGCTGCCTTCAAAGGTGGGAAGATGATAGAGGTCCCGCCTCCTTGGCAGGGGTTCTGTCGGCGCTTGGCCGTCAGTCGTTTATCTGACCGTCGGCCAGCCGCGTCTGCGCTCTTGACTCGCGAGGGTGAGAGGGCTGCGTTTGGGGATTGCGACAGGCATTTGCATTTATCTTTTCCCAAAGTGGCGGCACGGCTGGCCCTTCATATTCCTCCTCGTCCTCTCGTTCCTTCTCCTCGTTCCCCCATCCTATGTGTCCCTCCTCTCTTCCCTTCTCCTTTCCCGTCCTCTGTTTCTGCCCCTCTCTTCTACTCATGTCTCCCCCTTCCCTCCTCACCTCTCACACTCCCTCTTCCCATTCCTCATGCTTCATTCCCTCCTCCCTCCCTCCTTCCTGGCTCCATCCTCTTCCTCCTCCTCCTCCTCCTGCCCCCTCTGTCCCTCCCTCCTGCCCTTCCTCCACATTCGCCCCCTTTCCTCCCTCCTCCTTGCTCCTTCTTCTTCTTCATCATCGTCATCATCATCATCATCATCATCATCATCATCATCATCATCAGCATCCCCCTCCGGCGACGACGACGGCGTCGACGACGGCGTGGATGACGACGATGACCACGACGACCATGACGACGACGTTGGCGATGACCACGACCCCCCGCAGGCCCCTGGAAACCTGGGAGGAGGTGGAGCTCCACCGGCCGAAGGCCGCGCGGGCGCCAGGGGGCCCCGCCCCCCCCCGCAGCGCGCCAGCGCGCCCTTCGGAGGGTCGATCATCTTAGTTGCCTCGATACGCCCGTTTTGAAACGCAACACGTCCCGTGTTCAAGACGTCCGTGTCAATACGTTGCGTGTTGGCTCCACGTATTGGACCACGTTTTGACGAATGTATCGCGTCGGCTCCGTATCAATACGATACGTGTTGCGTGTTGCGTGTCGGGGCAGCTAAGTCGATCGTGGATCGAGGACATGTCGCCGCGACGTCTGTTCCGACGCGCGGCCTTCCGGCTTGGGTGTGGGCGCCGCAGCCAGCAGGGCAAACGCCGCTTCGGGCGCGGCGGGCTTGCCGTGGGGTTTGCCGCGTGGCGGCCTCGTCCAGGTGCGGGGCGCTTGGTTTGCCGCGGGTTTGCCGTGATGTCGGCGTCGCCCACTTGGGCGCGTCGAGAGCAAATTGCGCGGCGACATATGGTTCTCTACGACAAACCCTCACAACAGTTTACCATGGTCGTGTAAGTTCATATCACAGACCTGCGCGGAGCATCTCCTCCCAGCCCGGCCAGCCGGCCGAGGACATGGTTTTGCGGTGATGCTTCCCCTGGAGGATTTGGACAGTGCGACTGTTCACGATATCTATCGTTTGGCCCCTGGTTGAACACGCGTATCATGGCAGAATGGCTGGATCGATAGTGTCGAACAGCGCCTTGTCATGCAATTTCTGAATTGCTGCTGACCTGAAGGATGCAGGATGGCCGACAGCTCGCGGAACAACGCCGACAGAAAGGGATGAGCAAGGCTTGGATCAATGTGGTATAGCAATATCAGTACAGCGATGTCCCGGCGAATGCATAACAGAGCAAGATTATGGTCTCGCAGAGCTGTCTGTGCCGATAAGCCAACCTCGTCCAAAACCAGGACTGCCTGTCGAAATGCTTCAGGTGCCTTCTGGCGTGGTGGGCAGCTGGAGTGGCGTCCTCGAGGTAGACAGAAAGTTGCATGTGTATTGTCTGCTCATCCCTTCTCACGCCACAGCAGCGCTGTGTCCAGAGGAGAGCTTGGAGGCGCCAGCCAGATTCTGCGGTAAAGTGCCGCGCCGCCAAAGGAATTTCCTGAGGTGGCTCGAGAATAACACGGGAGTATTTCTGTTAGCCAGCGCGGACCCCAAACAGTGTGTCTCCGGCAATCGGTGTCGTGCAAGCTACGTGGTGCAGTCTAGATTGTGCAGTCCAGTATCCCTTCCAAATAAAAACTGGGCGAAGCGCGCGCGCGTCGCGCGCTCATCCCAAACTCCTGCAAACACATGTTAGGTTCCGCAGGGATTTCGAAATCGAACGCCCCCGAAAACCTATAACATACACATGAGCATACGCATGGTTCCGCAACAGGAATTTCCGAACCAAGCCTGTGCTCGCGCTCTGGCGAAATTTTAAAAATCACAGGTTAGTTAACTTTTTTCATCACATGCGACCAAAAGTGCCCCTCGCGCGTGCATGTCGAAACCATTCGAACGCCCTTGCGTGCGTGCTGTCGCAAGAAGCCATCGCAACAAACATTGGTGAGAAGAGCACGCGCGCACGTCGTCGCGCGAATGCCGCAACCCTTCAAAAACCATAGGCTTCGCATGGATGTCGAAACTTAGTGCCCCGAAACATACAAACAAAACCATTGGTCTCGCAACAGGAATGTTCAAAAGAGCCTGCGTCCGCGCTCTTGAAAAACCTTTACCATCGGCCACCCAACATGTGCAACAAATGCTGCAACGCGCGCCTCTCGCGCGCGCATGCCGAAATCATTCGAACGCCTTTGCGCGCGTGCTGGGCGGACGCGATCCCTGTCAAATAACACCATGCGGGCCACTCGCGGGCAGCGACCGAACACGCGTGTCGAAATCCTTCCAACATGTTCGTCGCCGATGCGAGGACACCATCATCGTCATCGGCGGGATCAGCATCGGGGCCGTCATTGCCCTTGCCGTCCTCATTGTCAGCATCGTCACCAGCATCGCTACTTTCATCATCGTTTCTGCCATTGTCGACGTCGCCATGATACCGCCCCCGCCCGAGTCACCCATTCGCACGGATGTGCCCGAGCGCCAGCACGGCCCGCGAGACGCACTGGGAAGATCCCAGCGATCAGCGCCACTGCGGCCGCGTCGGTCGCGTCAGACTAGCTGTCCGCTGCGCGCGCGAGCCTGCGCGCGCTAGCGCGGCCGCAGCGATACACCAGCCAGCGGTAAGCATCGATCGCAATAGCCGCCGCATGGGTTTTGCAAACCGAGTTGCGGGTGGGTGGGCGGGATGGTTGCGCGAGCATGCGAGATGGTCGCGCGCGAGGGCGTCCAAGTCAATTGCACCGCGTAGATTGCACCACGCAGAGCGCACCACGTATATTCTCCTTTCTAACAAGAAAATAGACTCGACCCCCCCCGGACTTATCAGCTCCCCCTGGGATGGTATAATTATATATATATAATATGCACACTCGTCCATCCTAAACCCAGAGGTCCTTATTTTCTGAAAAACTGATTTTTTTTTCCAGTGGTTGTTTTTTTCAATTCATATGCGGTGTACGGAAAAAATTTTCAGTTTTTTCAATGGAACTGAAAATACAGAAAATTTTCAGTTATATTGTAGACAATTATATATAAAACACGTAAACTATGACAAAATATCATAACTCGTCGTGGACCCTCCCCTGCTCTCGCCTCCCCCGCTAGTGCTGCAGCATCAAGGCGGCGCCAACGCGACCGCCTGCGCGCGACATGGCCCTCCGCGCCGCCATGCTGCGCAAACGCACCATGGAGGAGCTCGGGGGGGAAATTCTTGGGGAATTTTCAAGTAATTTTTTGACCCCAAAAATGCCTGCGGGCAATTTTCGGGCAAACAATTGACCTGAGTAAATGCCCGCGGGCAATTTTCGGGCAACATTTTGACCTGAAAAATGCCCGCGGGCAACTTTCGGGCAAAATTTTGACCTGAAAAATGCCCGCGGGCAATTTTCGGGCACAATCTTGACCTGAAAAATGCCCGCGGGCAATTTTCGGGCAAAATTTTGACATGAAAAATGCCCGCGGGCAATTTTCGGGCAAAATTTTGACCTGAAAAATGCCCGCGGGCAATTTTCGGGCAAAATTTTGACCTGAAAATTGCCCGCGGGCAATTTTCGGGCAAAATTTTGACCTGAAAAATGCCCGCGGGCAATTTTCGGGCAATTCTCGGGCAATGTTCGGGCAATTCTTGGGCAATTTTCGATCAACTCCAGAGAGTTGCTCGAATGTTGCCCGAAAGCTACCCGAAAATTGCCCGAGGCTTCCTGCTATATGCATGTCCTTCCCAGGACGGCGCCGACGGTGGCGCGGCGGCCAGCAGCGGGGCTGCTCCGGCGGCGGCGCAGGCCCGCTTTCAAAATGAGAGGAGGAGGCGGAGGAGGAGGAGGACGACGAGGGGGAGGAGGAGGCCGATGGAGGCGGAAGAGGAGGAGGAGGAGGAGGACGACGAGGAGGAGGAAGAGGAGGAGGAGGAGGAGGAGGAGGAGAGGAGGAGGAAGGAGGAGGAGGAGGAGGACGAGGGGGAGGAGGAGGCCGATGGAGGCGGAAGAGGAGGAGGAGGAGGAGGAGGAGGAGGAGGAGGACGAGGAGGAGGAAGTGGAGGAAGACGAGGAGGAAAAGGAGGAGCAGGATGAGGGTTACGAGGGTGAGGCAGATCAACAGAGGGAAGGGTGAGGTGAAACGGACTCAGAATACGCACGTGAGCTCGCACGTGAACTCACGTGCGCATTCGGGGTTGGGGCCGTCGAAACCCGCGCGTATGGTTTATGAACCGCGCACGCGGGTTTCGACGGATCCAACCTCGACAGGGGCTGTTGCATGCTCCTCGACAGGGGCTCGGCATCATCGAGCCCCGCGTCATCTGCACGCCCATCGACCTCAGCAGCGACAGCGACGACAAGCCGCTGCTGAAGAAGGTCGCGCGCACTGACCCAGAGAGTGCGGACAGGCTCGCGCTGACTGACGCGCAGCAGCACGGACGCGTCGGCTCGGCTCAGGCTCGAAACGGGTTGAACGGTGTGTGTGTGTATGTGCGTGAGTGTGCGTGTGCGCGTGTGTGTTCGATAACCGATGGCACGGTGACAATGTCGGGCACCCTCCTCCCCTTGCCCCCCAACCCCTTCGAGATTCTTACCTTCGCTGTCCCGCGACGACGGTTGGATGTCTGGTGTGCAAGATATCCAACCGTCGCCGCGTGTTGTCTCCCCCCCGCCTCTCCAACATTCGCCTCGAACGGGTCCAAAGTATGTGCATGTGTATACATGCGTATAGACGTGCATATATACGCCAAAGTACATGCGTATACACATTGTTTGTGATGAAGTGAGAGTCTTCGAGCGGGTATTAATGTATAGTGTTGGTCCAGCCATGCTCTTCAACAGCAAGCGTGCTTCCATAGCTTTTCGGGTCAGCCGCAACGATGACGGCCTGAGGGGCCAAGTTCGCGGTGGCCATCCAGGGAGGTCACAGATGCCCGACGCGCGCTGATGGCCCCTCCTCCGCCATCGGATCCAGGCAGCGCCGCGAGCGCGTCGCCGCCAGAGCCGAGCCCCATCGTGAGCCTCGGCTGGTGGCTAGCGCCGCGGGCGCTCGGCGCCCTGGGTCTGCTCGCCGCGATGCTGGCGTGGCGCGCCGAGACAGGCCGCGGGAGCCTGGTGCGCCTCGGCCTGGGAGCCGCGCTGATGGCCGTGGCCGCCGTCTGGGTCGCCGTCCAGACGGTGCGCGGCTGGTGGCGCGCTGCCAGCGGGCAGCAGGCCGAGGTGGAGGCCCTTCGCGCCCAGCTGGCGAGCCTCTCGCTGGACGGAGGCCAGGCGAGTGGCCCGGAGGCGAGGGCTGGCGCAGGCGCGCCCGAGCTGCCAGCATGGCCAGCGCCGAGCGCTCCCCCGCCAGGTCTGGGGCAGCCAGGGGTGCCGCCAGCTCCCCCCCACAGCGTGGACCCCGCCATGGACGCGTTCCACGCCTTCGCCGCGGGGGGGGGCTGCACTGGGCCGCTGTCGTGGACTGCAGCACCGTCGGGGCCGCCAGCGCAGCCCGAGGCGGGCGCAGGCCCGACCACGACAGCGGTCCTGCCGACGGTGCCCGGCGGAGGCCCAGGCGGACCTGGGCTACAGGCGGCCGCAGCGGCCGCGGCTTGTGCCAAGAAGGTGAAGGAGGCTCTCGTGATGCTGCATGCTGGAGCGAGCACTGACCCATGGTGGGGCCGTCGCTTCTGGAATTTCGTCCACCAGCTGGAGCAGGCCGGGGAGCTGAACCCAGGGGTACGGGCCGCCCTCGCTGCTCGAGGCTATGTGGGAGCGGAGACTCGGTCGGCCCCCGACGTGGAGTCACTGAAGACCGCGCTGGCAGGATTCGAGAACATGGAGTCATCCAACACGTTCGATGGCACGTTCGGAGCGCCCGCATCAGCCGCGGGAGGAGCCGAGGTGGACGCCTGGGCCCATTCGCTGCCGCCGGACTTCAAGAGGGCGGGAATGGAGATCTATCGGAATATTCGCGCAGCTGGGAGTACGAGTATCAGGCATTGGCTTCAGTCCCAGTTTTCAGGATATCGAGGAGGAGAGCAGTGGCAGTCGCTGTGGAGCACAGCGGCGACATTGGACTTCGAGCTAGGCAAATGTGGGAATGATCAGGAGCTGATGATCTGCCTCAACACGAATGATAATGTGGAGATTGGGCTGCGCCACCTGTCGGCCTACGTGTACGAGTCACGCGCGCACGACAAGGCTGGCGCGGCTAGGCTGAGGGCAGTCACCGCCCCAGGGAGCGGGATAGACATCGCACCGGGCTGGCTCATCACGGAGGCAACGACACACAGCAAGATGGAGCACCAACGGGCTGAACGAGTGGCAGCGGAGCTACGACGACGGAGCGGCGGCAAAGGGAAGGACAAGGACAAGGGCCGTGGTCGTGGCGACAAAAGCTCGGGAGGCTGACGCCTACCGGGGCCCCTTCATCATGAGTCGCGGGGTGAAGGGGTGCGAGATGCCCGTGCAGGGCAGCGACAAGTTCAGTTCGAGGAAGTTGATCGAGCCCCCCCAGGCACGCACTGCTCAGTCCTCGCTCAGGGCGGGTCAGGGAGACCAGAGGGTACCGGGCTGGGGGGAGCCCCCCAGTCACGCACTGCTCAGTCTCATCCGCCGCCGAGCGAGAGGACCAGAGGGTACCGGCCTCGGGGGGAGGAAAGATGGATTGCCAAACCAGATAAGCCTAGTGAAGATGCGAAGTTCAGCTACCCTCAGAGTTTCCCTTCGATATCTGAAATGGCCTCTGTTTTCGGTGCCAGCGATGCGGTCCTACCAGTTCCACTTCTTGCACAGCCAGGTCGTGTGTCGGTGCGTTCGGGTCGGAGTAGGCAGAGACTACATCGGAAGCAGATGGTTAGGAAGGTCGCCAATCGAGTGCTCAGTGCTCTCAACTCGACCTACCTGGGCAATATGAAGCAGCAGACCACACCATGGCAGCAGAAGTTTAGCAATGAGATGATGACGAACTCGGCTGTCGGGCGGGTCCAGGCGCGGGCCATCCAGCACGCAAAGGACCAGCTCTATGTTCGCCGGCTGTTCCCAGTGACGGGCGTACAAGCGACGTGTGAGCTACTGAAGTTGGACCAGATAGGCTACAGGAGAGTGCACAAGAGAGACGTCCACACGGAGTTCATTGCCGACAGAGTGGACGAGGTGACGACGCTGAAGGTTGTCCCGCTACTCGAGGCGTTGCCGGCCGATGAGGCCGAGTACTACGAGAAGGAGGAGAACGTCGTCGAGATGGCAGGCAAGTCCATGCAGCACGTGGAGGAACTAGAGAGGCAGTATGGGTTCTTTGGGGGCCAGATGGAACAGTGGATAGCTTATTTACATCGTGATGACCTACCGCCGGGGCTGTGGGTATTTAGACCGAGGAGCGAGGTGATGACGATCAATGGAGTATCAGCGGTCTTGAAGAAGGACGGCTTTAAGTTGAGAAAGCTCATCATGGCAGTGCCCACGAACTACCTCTGGAGTGATGTGCGACGACGTGGTGAACACGGACTGGGCGGAGGAGGAGCGCTCGCTATGATGCGAGCGCCAGGCATGGAGATTCATATGGCGCGGTGTGATGAGAGCAATGCATTCTCTTCGGTTCTCTTGCCTGAGTGGATGTGGAAGTGGATGGCAACTCCTGCCATCCCAGCTGCAGCAGTCTGGTCCTTGTTACCCGTGGACATGAGGAGCGGTCTCCAGGAGTGGTCTCTAGTGTGCCCTTGCTACACCAGGCCGCCGATGGGGTTGTCTCATGCCGTTCACATCCTGATGTGCATCAACCTGGAGGCAGTGGGGAGGACGCTGGTGAGGTCGGCCGCCCTAGGAGAGCCCAAGGAGAGCCAGTGGATCGATCTTCCGGACGAAGCCGTCGTGGAGGACGTCGAGTGGGTCAAGAAGCAAGCCTTGGGACGTGCTGAGCGGCGTCAAGAGGCTGGGCTCTCCCCTGAGGCCTTCCTGGTTAAAGTCCGTGAGCTGAAGCAGGAGCGTCACCGAGTGATCATCGTGCTGCGCACGTTCGCGGGCGGCCGGAGGAAGCTGGACATCCAGCACTACGTGGAGGAGTTTGCCGTCGAATATGGGGTTGCGATCTTTTTCTTTGGAGTGGATCTTGCCTTTGATCATAGGTGGGATCTGGCGGACCCCAAGCTGATCGCCATGCTGCTGGAGATGATCGAACAGGGCCTCATTGACATTATCCTTGGCGCCCCCCCCTGTGCCACGTGGAGTAGAGCGCGCTTTCGCGGAGGAGGTCCTCGTCCACTCCGATTTCGGTCGGAGCCGCAGGGCAGGAGCGACCTGTCGAAGGAGGAGCGCGCGAGAGTCACGGAGGCGAACGTGCTTCTCTTCAACCTGCTCGCCTTGTGCGACGTGGAGGAGCAGCACGGGGGGGGCTACCTGTTCGAACACCCCGCGGACCCAGAGGAGGAGCCGTACCCGAGCATCTGGGACCTGGAGGCAGTGAAGGGCATGCTGGGGCGACACGGCGTGCGCACCACCAGGATCGACCAGTGTATGTACGGGGGACCGGCCCAGAAGCCCACTACGCTGGCTTCGAACTTGGACGGCATTCAAGAGCAGGCGGTGCTGTGTGATGGGAGACACCGTCACGAGAAGGCCTACGGGAAGAACGAGCGCGGCATCTTCAGGTCGCGCCGGCCGCAGGCCTACCCGCCTGGCTTGTGCCGCATGATCGCCCTCAGTGTGGTCAGGACGGCGCTTCGGATGCTGACCGCAGGCCGGGGACCAGGAGGGTGGCTCAGGACGGGGCGGGAGAAGCCGCGTCACACCCAGTGGAGCTTCGAGAGCGAGAAGGAGGGCCTCTTCGTGCTGAACGAGCTGTACCGCCGGGGTGGCAGTGTGAGGCTGCGCCCAGGCTTCCAGGCGATCTACGTGCACGTGGACGACGGGCTCAACATAGCGGCTTGCCGAAGAGGCGGGTCGGCTGACGTTGTGAGTGAGCAGATGATGCAGAAGGTCGCCGACGCCTGGGAGCAGGCCGGCTTCGTCGTCAACGAGCGCGAGAGGATCGAGGAGGGCTCGAAGATCGTGGGCTACGAGTTGCAGAACTTTCCGCCTCGCCTGAAGCTGGCTAGTGGCAAAGCCAGCTGTTCGGAGGCGGCACTTACGTGGATCATGGAGACGCCCTGGGTGGACGTGGAGCTGCTCAGGGCTTTGGTGGGCGCGTGGCTGTGGGGGGCGCTCTTGAGGCGCGAACTCATGGCCATCCCTGCCGCGGTGTTCGACCTGCTCGAGAAGAGGCAGGGTCAAGTCGTGTGGTGGTGGGCCTCCGCCCGCCGCGAGGTGCGCGTCATGAGAGACATGATCCCGATGATGTCGTGTGTCTTGGATCTACCGGCAGCGCCCGTACTCTTTGCTTCGGATGCGGAGGGCGCCAACCGAGTCGACCACGGCGGGTACGGCATCGTCGTGACGCCCATCACCCAGAGTGAGTCAGAACAAGTCATCGGAGCAGGTACGAGACCTGGGCATACAGTTTCCAGGCTGGACGGCACGGTCCTCCATCTGAACCGTGCTGATCGAGAGCTGCGTGGCCGCATCCCGGTGTCACGCATCCCGCGAGAGCTGCTGCAGATCCCTCAGGAGATGTGGCACGAGCTGGACGCGGGACGCTGGCGCTCGCCTGACCACATCATCTTGGGAGAAGGCCGAGCCGTGGTCAGACTTTGTCAGGCGCTCTCTCTTCTTCCAGGAGCTCATGACCACGCTATCTGCAACATGGAGGATAATGAGCCGTTGTCCTCAGCAGCAGCAAAGGGGCGTTCATCGGCCCCGCATCTCAACTACCTGCCGAGGAAGATTAGTGCACTTTCAGTGGCAACAGGCATCAAACTATACCTACCCTGGGTGGACACCGCACACCAGACAGCTGATGAGTTGTCAAGGAGGAAGCGGAGTGGCTTGGTGCGCTCGTCGGGTCGGACCTCGTCGAGTCGACCCTGACCAGGCCGCGCGGGTGACTGAGAAGACTTTAGAAGTATATCGCAGCGCTGGGCTTCGGTTTTCGACCTGGGCCCTCCAGCGCGGCCTGCGTCCCAGCGGTGCTGACGAATGGGACGACCTTCTAGTTGAGTTCAAAAATGATCAGATTGAGAACCTCACTCCAGCGAAATTCGTGAATACAGTTGCAGCAGTTGAGTTCTTCTTCCCTCGCATGCGGGGGAGACTGTTGTGGAGCAAGGCTGTCATTGCAGGCTGGGAAAGAAATGTTGGACGCAAACATACGGTGCCTCTCGGGAAGTTGCCTGGTAAGCTCCTCGGGGTTCACATGGCCGCCAGAGGGAACCCGCGTCTGGGCCTTGCTCTCATCGTGCAATGCCATACGGGCTTACGCCCCTCGGAGCTCTTGGGAATACTACCGGAGGACCTCATCTTCCCTCGAGACTTGGGCGAGAACATCAACATCGCCTCGGTCTCTATCGCTCTTGGGGCTCGTACGGGGACAAAGCTCAAGAGGCCCCAGGTGGCGCGCATATTCCAGGAGGACAGGGACATCATGGAGGTGCTTGAGGAGATCACGAGGGCCACCCCAGCACTCCGCTCTTCCCCTTCAGCCTAGCCCAGTATCGTAAGACTCTCAAGGACACCGAGGGCTCGTTGGGCCTATCTATGGGTTGGGGGCCTCACAGCCCTAGAGCAGGATGGGCGAGTGACTCGAGGGCCGAAGGGCTCTCGTTTGAAGAAGTTCGGGAGAGAGGGAGGTGGATCTCAGATGGGAGTTTGCGTATCTATCTTGACATCGTCGGTGCGAGCCACATCCTCACCCAGCTAAACACGAAGGGCTTTGCGCAGCAGCTGCACTGGCTCAAGAGAGGGTGGCGCCAGCACTTTCCTGCGTTCGTCTGGGGAGCGCACCTTCCTCCAGGATATGGCGCCCAAGGGCTACGTCAAGGACAAGAACACTGGGGGGTGGATCAAGGGCCCGGACTTGACGGAGGAGAACGTGCCACCACTGCCGAGCCCGCCGGGGACACCGCCCAGTTGGGCGCAGTGCGTCAGTGCTCCGCCGTCAAGGGCCACGTCGCGGACGGCATCGCCGGGGGCAGTTTCGCTCGTACTCACGCCGCCCAAGGCCAAGAGCCCGGGTACGCTGCCGCCCGCCACTGTGCTCGCAATCCCACCTCCAGAGGCAGCGGGCCAGCCGATGACAGGCAAGCTGCAGTTCTACGCACAGGCACCATGCAAGCCGCAGCAGACCAGGGGGCAAAAGGGAAGCTACCTCAAGTCGGTTGTTGGCTACAGTAGGGTGTTCCAGATTCTCTGCGGCCCGTGCTTCGTGCCTGCCATCATCCTCATGGTGCTCGTCGTCAGTTTCCCGTCGAGCCTCTTTCCTAACATGTCCAGGGGTGCCGAGGCTGCGGCGTCCCTGGTGGAGGATGTGGCAGGCGCAGGTGGTGCTGTGGCCCTCGCGGCCAGGAACCTGACTTTGGCCGTGAGTGGGGTGGCGCTATCGGTTGCAAGAAACTCTGCTACGTTTGTGTATGAAGCGTGGTCTGGGATAGATCTGCTGGGCTGCCGCTTGAACGTCACAGGCGGCCGCTCCGTCGTTGACATTGGTGCACGCTCTCGCCCCAGTATGATGAAGGAGCTCGAGCGGGGGCTGTCCGTGGTGCCAGATGACCTGGCAGTGGAGTTGTGGGGTTCCATTAACGCTGTATCTGTCAGGGCGCCAGTGGCGGCGCGGCTCTCCTCCCAGTTCAATTTCACGGAGAGCTTCTTCATCTGGGATTGGGAGGTACTGTTAGTGGACGATGAGGTGCTGGCAGTACGATATTATTTCGCTAGATTGGGATTTGAACTTCAGTGGGCTAATCCGTTGTGGGCACTCACAGGGGCCGATCCCGGAAGAGAGCTGGAGCGCATCACGACGAGAGTCAAGGATGCGATAGAGTCGGCAGTCGACGCCTCCGTGCTGCGGACACCGCTGACCGCGCAGGAGGTACTCCAGTTTCCCACCGCTCGCCCTCCCTTTTGGTTCCGTCTCGGCCGGTGGGCCCACGCGCAGTTCGATTGGTTATGGTACGCAAGCGGTGTTTGGCTCTGAGGTTCAGTGGGTTTCAAAGCCATAGGAGTGGTATGATCGGATACCGGAGTTTGGCATTATCTCAGAGCGGACATGTTGTATACGTTATGGAGTTCAGATTTCCCTTGATGAATCGGATGAGGTCAAATACAAAGGAGACCCTCGGCCGAGGGAGTTTAATTGGAAGCATGCTGCGACACGTCTGAACTGTGATCGACAGGAGATATGGCTTTGGTCATTTCGTGGTCTGTTGAAAAAAATGGAGTTGATTATCGAGATAATCGTGAGTGACGCTTGCTGTTGTTTCCTATTCTGCACAGGCTTCGCCTTGGCACGCCCTACCTGTACAGGTTTTGCCTACTCGTCCCTAGCTTTTCCCTTCCTTGCCCCTGACCGCCGCGGGGGCGGCGTGGGGGTTGGGTGGGTGGGTCTCCAGAGGCTTTAGGAACTCAATGCGTTTTGTACATTATGATGAAGTGAGAGTCTTCGAGCGGGTATTAATGTATAGTGTTGGTCCAGCCATGCTCTTCAACAGCGAGCGTGCTTCCATAGCTTTTCGGGCCCACCCGATCCCGCCCTTTGGAGTTCAGGGGATTTTCCCTTGATGAATCGGATGAGGTCAAATACAAAGGAGACCCTCGGCCGAGGGAGTTTAATTGGAAGCATGCTGCGACACGTCTGAACTGTGATCGACAGGAGATATGGCTTTGGTCATTTCGTGGTCTGTTGAAAAAAATGGAGTTGATTATCGAGATAATCGTGAGTGACGCTTGCTGTTGTTTCCTATTCTGCACAGGCTTCGCCTTGGCACGCCCTACCTGTACAGGCTTTGCCTACTCGTCCCTAGCTTTTCCCTTCCTTGCCCCTGACCGCCGCGGGGGCGGCGCGGGGGTTGGGTGGGTGGGTCTCCAGAGGCTTTAGGAACTCAATGCGTTTTGTACATTATATTCACATACACACCTACATACCTACATACATACATACATACATACATACATGCATGCATACATACATACATACATACAGACAGACAGACAGACAGACAGACAGACAGACATACAAGTGTCTATGTACACATCTCTATATATATGTATATATATGTATGTGTGCACCCGACTGTACCCTACTATAGCCCGTCGTTCTCTCGGAGCCGCCGACTTTACCCTGCGGCCCCTTCTGCCCGTTCCCGCAGGCCCCGCCCCAGTTCCAGAACGCAGCGCTGCCCGCCACGCAGCAGGGCGAGACGGGGCCGCCTGCGACAATTGCGCCAGCTGCCACGACGGCAGCAGGGACGAAACACGATAATGAGGGGGAGGAGGATGAGGAGGAGGAGGAGGAGGAGGAGGAGAAGGGGGAGACGGAATAGGAGGGTGAGGATCGGACGAAGCTGAGGGGGAGGAAAAGGAGCACAAAGAGCGGATAGGAGATGAGGGGAGTTGAGGGGAAACTCGAGGGTGGGAGGTCCTGGGGGGTCCCCTGGGGCCCTCTATAGATGGAAGGGATCCTCGAGGATGGGAGGGGTCCTCGAGGATGGGGGGCCCTCGCCTCCCATCCTCGAGGATCGGGGGGCCCTCGAGGGTGGGAGGTGGGCGGTGGGGGGAAGGAACCGCCTCCCCCCGCACCCGCCCCGCATAAGGCAGCGCCATCGGACGACGAGCTCATCCAGGACATGTTCCGCGCGGACGTGCAGCAGGCCGATCGGCCTGCCTTGTTGCTCCTGGTTATGTGCCTTCCTCTTACCGTACGCCCCTCGTCCCACCTCCTCCCGATCAGCCACTCGTCCAACATCCCACTTCCCTCCTCCCTCGTCTGCCCTCCGCCCCCTCCTTCCAGGCATTTCAACCATCCCCCACCTCGACGTTAACGTTGCTCGTTGGTGTATCGTCGGCGCCCGCCTCTACGTCAGCTTCCTCCTCCGCCTCCTTCTCGTCGGCGTCTTCCCATCATCCGTCTAATCGGGTTCATCCGTATCCTCCACCACCTCCCCCTCCTCAATCATCACCATCAGGATCAGCATCAGCATCATCATCATCAGCATCATCATCATCAGCATCATCATCAGCAGCATCATCAGCAGCAGCACCATCTTCCTCCTCCTTCTCCTCCTCCTCCTCACGTCTTCTCCTCCTGATCCTCCTCCTCCTCCTCCTCATCCTCCTCCTCTTTAGTTGTTTACTCACCAGGTTCCGCCATGCCATCCTCCCCCCATCTTCCCTCGTCAGCAGCTGGCTTGGATCAAGATGTCCTCGCCAGGTGCAGAGACGGCCCCAGGGCCGCTCGGTTCAGCCCTGCTCCCACACGTGACGGGCCCGAGTTTCTGCACGTACGGCTACGATGGCGGCGTGAGTCGGCAGGGCATCGAGGGCCACATCAAGCTGATCAGGAGCTTGGTCCAGGTGGTGAATCGGACAAACACCGCCGACCCTTCTAAATGTATACCCCTCCGCCCTCCACGTGGAGGAGGGGGGACTTACGGGAGGGCGGCGGGGGTGAAGGGATTAAAGGAATGAGTGGAGGAATGGGGGTAATGGAGGAGTGGGGGAATGGAGGAGATCGGAGGAGGAGGGGAGGAATGAGCAATGGACGAATGGAGGAAATGGAGAACGGAGTGGATGAACGGAGGAGTTCGGAGGAGTGGATGAATCAGCATGTGCACAATTTGTGTTCTCACCCTAGGTGAATAGCACCATGTCCTTCAAGAAGGACGCGTGGTTCCAGGCTCTGAAGGAGGTCGCCAGGCACAAGCCACTGGTGTTCAGGAGCAGGGGGGAGATGACGACGTGGCAGGCCGAGCTGCACAAGCGCTTGAAGACGATGTGCCGCCACGCTAGCCAGTATATGATCAAGGACACACCCCCCAAATGGTTCAAAGCGCTGGCGCTCCCCAAGCCCGAGAAGAACGTCGAGCCTGGCGGCGACGCCGACGGGGACCAGCACGAGGACGAGTTCGACGAGAAGAACGACGAGGAGGGCGGGGAGGAGGAGGGCCCCGCCGACTTCGAGCCCGACGTGGAGGTAGACACTGGCGCTGCCAAGACCCCCGTGTATGACTACGGATACGACGGGGAGGCTCGCTGCGCGTTCCGCACGCGCACGGGCGGCCCGAAGAAGCACTTCCCCGAGTATGCCGTCGAGATGCGCGAACCTCCAGATGCAGCGCCTACAGATTGCATGCTGGCAGTGTTCAAAGGCGCGTCTGGCTCGACACAGGAGGCGGTGAACGCGGCGCAGGTGACCGTGGCCAAGTGGCGATCGGGTCTCACGCAGCCGAAGGCCAAGGCGAAGACCAAGGCGAAGCTGGGCACGCCCATGAAGAAGAAGAAGAAGAAGCAGGAGGTGAATACGACGAAGATCTCCGACGCGGGCCCAGAGAGCAGAGCCGCAAGCAGCGGTGCAGGCACGAGCGAGCTGAAGTCCAGACGCTTGCCCGACAGGCAGGGGTGGCTTGGCAAGAACAGCAATGATGAGAAGGTCGAGGCGCTGATCCGCAGCAATGATGTCAGAGGCAAGCCGCCCCAGCGCCTCGCCGTCGTCCAGGTGAACGGCAAGACGGCGACCACCATCAATGTGGACAAGTTCGAGGCGACGGCGGAGACGACCTCCCAAGCTGCTGCCCTGGCATGGGCATCGACAATCGCAGTGAAGCTGGCGCACGGGAAGATCGATCGAGAGGGGGCCATCGCCATGAAGGCCGCGAAGCTGGATCAGGTCGGCGGCAATGTTGTCATGAAGAGGCCGTCAACTATGTTAAAGAAGCCAGGTGCCGCTAAGTGCGCTCGCCCGAGGCCTTCTGCAGCGCCTGGCGCCAGCGAGGAGAAGCACACGGACTCGAACAAGGACGTTGACAAGGGCGCTGCCTCTGCGACCACTCCACCCGTGACCAAGAGGGCGATCTCGCCCTCCGCCCAGAGGACACGCCTGTCGCCGCCGACCCCGTCGTCGGATGAGAACGTGGGTGCGGCGTCAGGCTGATGCGAGGGCGATGCGCACAAGCGCTCGCTAGCTGTTTGCGCCCCGCACGGGAGGGGTTGGGAGGCGGGACTAGAAATAAGGTGAGGGGAGACATAGTATGAACGATAGGAATGTTGAGGTTGAAGGAAAGAACCAAAACAACAAGGAACGGGAGGAACGGAGGGAGGACGGACACCGTGCCAGGGGCAGCTTGTGCATCATATGTATATGCACGCATCGCGCACGCAGCGCCGCAGTGGACCACGTTTGAGTCCGAGGGGATTCCTCGCCAGCGGCATGGTCTGTCGCCGATCGTGGGACGAACAGGCCAACGACACACCCCTGTACAGCGCAGGAAAAGCTCACGAGTATGTATGCGTATTACGGCATAGGTCACATTCGCACTAGCACCAACGCGCGTGAGCGTAGAACAGCACGCAAACCTAAAGCAAGAGGGTGCATAGGGAGAGGGAATACCATGCGACATAGAACAGCGAGAGATGCAGAGAGAGGGAGACGCACATACTCAATGTCTATAGAGGGACGAGGGTGACATGACCTCACATTTTCATATAAATAATACATAGGTGATAAAGAGAACGAGAGAGAGAGAGAGAGAGAGAGAGAGAGAGGGAGAGACAATCAGAGATAGGCACAACTTAACAGCACCACCGACACACGTGAGATAAATGGGGGACGCATCACTTCCAACCCCGTCATCGTCTCACCACCCCCCTGTCGCCACTCCGCCCCCTTCAACGATCCCCCGCCGTGACGGTTGTTTTACCGATTCCCGTGTGTCTCAACAATACCTTCTCTCTTCCGCCACCCCTCCCGTATGTCGCCCTCCACCCGCTCTATCTACCTCGCGCTCCCTCCATGGCTGTGTTGGTCGGCATTTGGCTATAAAGTATATGCCGATCTCAGTATGTGTGTGCATACACGCACGTATGTGTGTACATATA